TCATTGACGTCGGCGGTTACAGTAGAACAAATGCATACCTATATAATTGATTATCTACATCAGTTAAGCGTAGTTCATAGCGGAATATGAATATGCAACATTCATGTGTTCAACTAATAGATTTACCGGATGAGTTGCTTATAATGATATTTAAGAAATTAAATAATATGCAAGTACTTCATTCTTTGATGGGTGCTAATATGCGACTCAATAAAATTATACGTGATCAAACTTTTACTGATCGTTTAACATTTGTAAAATGGTCATTTAATAAATTTTTCTATCCACTATCTGATACAACACTTGATCGATTTTGCCAACAAATATTGCCTCAAATTCATCATCATGTCAAATGGCTTGACGTTGAACCATTATCTATGAAACGCATTCTCCTTGCTGGCGAATATCCAAATTTATATGGACTTAGTATTTACAATATTGAAGAAGAGATAATTCAATGTTTCTTTAATGGTAAGAAATTCAAATTCAGTTGTCGTAATCTAATTTAAATCATGAATATATAAAGAAACATAATTGCTTTATCTAATTATCAATATGAATACCTGGATCTTTATAGGTTTTATTCAAACCATTTATTCATATTTTGTATATGAATATGAAGGAGAATAAAATAACTAACAGAGCTTACGTTTACAAACTAAGAGAAAGAAACACGAGCATATTGAAATTGAGTTAACATACGATGTGACAATAAATAGCCTTTCAACTAGAAAAAATCAACAAAAAATGTCTTGTTTTCACTCTGATGCATTCGGATGGTTTTCAAAGGTAAAACATATATATAAAGGCACAATTAGTCATCAATAGAGCTAGGTATAACTAAATTTTTTGTTCACAGTCACAACTCATGACGGTTGTAACCGTGAATCATGGTCATTCTTTTTAGTTTATCACAGGTTGCAGGTCCTGCAGTGCACCCAAAGCACCCAATTATATGAAATATAGTGTAGTTCTCATCTAATCATGAAATTCGCGATGATTTTTCCATTATTTTTAATAATAGCCAGAATCGTAGATGCCATAACGTCTCCCAATGCTTCGATAGAAAAATGATTTGATTCAGCTGGTTTGACATTCACTCAAAGACGAATCAGTAGTAAAGAGAAGACTTATTTTTTCTCATAATCATCTGTTTAAATTGATTATGTTGTTAATCTTGTATCCTTATCTTGATTCTCTTATTCTCGTTATGAATGTCAATTATTTTTTGTTAATTTTATTTCTACTGAAAAACATATGATACAGTTTCTTAACTTGATTATTGTAAATAGTATTTCTATAATATATGACATCGCAACGCATACTTGTACAAGATTTCATTCTGACAAAAGTTAGGTAAAGGTAAAAACAAATAAAAAAGATGAGATTCTTAATTGAGAAAAAGAAAACTAAGGATTTAATTTATTTGATTCAGTATAATGAAATAGTAACATACATGTACTTTCATTTAACTGTATTTGTCATAAAATATGCGCTATCATTATGTTTTGTGCTTGTTGTGATGTTTTTTTCTGTCATAGGAGAAATTAGAATTCAAGAAAATTTAAAATTTCTCCTATAACATTTACATCTAGTTGTTTTAATTCAAAAAAAAACGAATAAATTATCCCAATAAGCTATAAGAAAAACTGTGAATTTAATTGTGTTTTGGAAAAACCAATGCAGTCAACATAGAAACAAGGTATCTTACTATTTTAGTACCTGCGAGTCATGACACTCACATTGGTTACTACTTATCAATCATGTACAATGAATACTGATACAATGATGAAGAAGAAATACTTTGATATAACAGAACACTGATTAAATAAAGAAAGAAAATGAAAAATGGAATATCAACAATTCAATTAACCAGAAACATATTGAAATTTTCTATCAATAATTTTGTGTGTATGTTTAGGTGAAGATCATTTAACTTATATATTCAAAAATCAAATATCAAGATTGATTATTACAATTGGTGATTATAAGAAAAAAAATTTGCCTGAAGATGAAATAACAAATACGTTTACACAAGTCTTCAATATGTTCATCAATCTTCGTTATTTGAAATTATATTCACCTTCAGATATCTATGTTCAACGATTATCATTCAACAATAAAATTCCAACATTTTTCTCTTCAACTCTAATCGAACTGCATATCAACGTTCGTTCATTCACCGATTGTCTGTATTTGCTCGATGGTCGTTTCAATCAACTTGCAACGTTTTGTGTGACCATTTCTAGAGTTATACCGTCATTACTATTGATCAATAATAAAGTAAGTTCCTTTGAAAGAATAAAATAATTATTATTCAAATGTTTATGTCATTACAAACATTAAATTGAAAAAAAATCTATCTAATGTGTCGCTTTATTTTCATAGGAAGAATTGCCTAATCTGACATGTTTTTCACTGGCGTGTAAGACGCGCATATGTTTTTATGATGAATTGATTTTACCATTTCTATATCGAATGATTAATTTAAAGAAACTGGCTTTGTACATGACAATTGATCGTTATAGAACATTTATTGATGGAAATAATTTGAAGAAGGATATTATCAATCGTCTACCTCAATTAAATAAATTTGTATTCAATATTCAATCGATCATTTCGCTTCAAAATAAAATTCATTTATTATCAAATGAAGAAATTCAACGCACATTTACAAATTTTATCTATAATGAAGTTATTTCTTGTGTTGATTATTTTTTAAAAGAAAAAACTGGTCAATGTCATATTTATTCATATCCATACACAATGAAACGTTATTATAATATTACAAATAATTTTCCAGGTGGATTATTTAAATGTGTTCGTCAAATATCATTATTTGATGAAAATCCTTTTGAGCATGAATTTTTCCTTCGAATTGCAAAATCATTTCCATTAATGAAAAAATTATCGTTATCTAATCTGAAACGACCAAAACGCAAACAACATATAAAATTGAAGAATGTCAATGAAAAATTTTCAATCATTGAATATCGTCATCTTACTGAACTAGAACTTACTACTGTTCATAAAGATTATGTTGAACTATTTCTAGATCATAGGAAAACTTGTTTACCAAATAACATATTTCTTAGCATCGATTATCGTCCGTTAAGAAAAGCTACACATAATTTCACAAGAGAAGTAATGCGAGTTAACTGTGCTAAATTAAGTCAACTATTAATTTATGACGAAGTTGAAATTTCTCAACAGGTTAAAGACTATTTTCCGCGTGTGAAACGATTCTAATTTTTTTTTTTTTTTTATTAAAATAAACTAAATGAAACAAATATGAATATGTTTAAATCTGATCTGAATATACGAAAACAAAAACAAAGAGTCAAAAGAAAAAAAAAGTATTGGTTCTCTATAATCTTTTTCTTTTTTATGTTTGACGACAAAAATTGTCTGTTTATAAGAAGATTTCACTCTATTAATGAGTCCATATCTTAAAAGATGCAATTTACAGAATTCTAAAACAAATTTAGTATAAAACTCAAACATGTTGGATATGGCCACTACGGTATTTATTTATGTAATGTACTTCACATGAAATAATCAGAAAATTGTTTTTATTATAGAAAATTAATAGACGATTTATAACTGAATGAAAAATCAGTTGAACCAAAGACTATCCATGCATCGAAGACAAGATTTTATTCGAAAAAATTTTGGTTTGAGATTTTAACTTTGCACCAGAAAATTCTGCGTGGAATAGAACAAATGCTGAAAGAATCATTTTTTGTAGAAATCAAAATATTCAATTATATTCAAAGTTCTACTCTCTCCATCAGTTGTGTAAATTATTCTACTTCTCGTTATTTTTCTACTAAAAATAAAAGAAATGAGTGAAATTAATAATACTGTATATTAGTTTGCTTGTTGAAAGTTTTTTCATGCATGCAGAAAAGTTAGATATTATTGATCGAGTACTTTTAAATTCTTTTGTTACAATTAAATGTTCTTGGGATAATCGTCTTACATAATCTACACATATAAAAGAAGTGGATGTAACTGATTTCTTTTCTGTCTATGTTGAACTAGGACTTCAAACCAAAGCGAGAATCTTATAAAAATGCCAATGAACAAATATAGTAGGCAAATGAGTGTAGGTGAGCTATTATGGATAGAGATCGAGATAAATTCATGAGTATTTAATGTATTAGCGGTTGCAATAGCGAAAAGGAGAAACAGTTGAGCATATCGCAACGTTATCATGCAAATGAGAGTGTGTGCCTCTTTTTTTGTGTGTATCTTTGTGGATGGACTGGTTAGTATAATTGAAGAGAAGACCTGCATTCACCTATCCCTCAATTTCCTATAAAACATGTATTGAAAATTTTATATGATGTAGACTTATTGTTTCACATGACCAGAATCATCAATAATAAGACTATTAATTTTTTGCACGACAGTATGGAGGAAAGCATATTATTTAGTCAGATGAAGTATGCTCGTAGATTGTGTTCTTTTTCTTCACTATTCATTTATCAACATTTACTTCACAAACGCACATGGCAACTTCAACATCAAGCAAGCCGCGCTGCGCAATATGTAATAAAGCTGTCGGAATTTTCAGCTGTTATGGATGTTCACGATACTTTTGCTTGCCTCATGCGAATGAACATCGTCAATTACTGGCCAAAGAGTTGGATGAAGAAATTGTTCTTGTTCACGATCAACTTCAACAAAATTTTAACGAGATTACAACGAAGCCTTATCTACATCCTCTCATGAAAGAAATTGACGAGTGGGAGCAACAATCGATGGATAAAATTCGTCAGGTTGCTGACGATGCTCGAAAACAACTGTTAAGCATCATAGGAAAACATATGGATAATGTTAAAATCTCTTTGGGATTACTCGCTGAACAACTACAGAAAGCTCGTACCGATGACGAATTCGTTGAGACTGATATCAAAGAATGGAAAGAGTTGCTGGAAAAATTAAAAAAAGAGATGAACACACCACAAGAAATCAAAATTCAAAAAGATAACAATATGGCCACGTTGATACACAAAATTTCCATTAATGAAAATTCATTAATAATCGATGTCTTTGATAGAACAGATGGAAATATTCGAATTGAAGACAATGGCCGAGTGATCATTCATGATCAGTCAGTCCATGATTCAGCAGCTCGTGGTAGATGTGAATATTCTTCGGGACAACAGCGGTTTCGATTTAAAATTGAACAACTTGATGGCAACAAATGGGCTTTTTTTGGAATTGTATCAAAAAATGCTGCTATTCAGCGACAGTCATACTACACTCTCACTACTTATGGTTGGGCCGGACGAAATCAAGTCTACTTAAATGGTGTTCAGAACATCGGGTTTGGCGGCTATAGAAGTGACATGGAAGTGAATGACGTATTGGAATTATTTGTTGATTGTGATCGGCAAAGAATTTGTTTGACAAATGAGCGGACTCATAGTTCGTATGAACTTGATGTAAATGTAGCTAAATGTCCTTTTCCATGGCAACTGAATTTTTGTCTTACTTATCCACATGATCGCGTGCATTTTCTATCATGAATATTCGATGAATTCCATGTCCATATCCTTTCTGAAAAAAAGAATTCAAAAGCTGAAGATTAATAATTTTTATGCACGAAAATGGCGTTCGAACAGCATCTAGAATGAGGCTTCATTGGTTCTTTTTTTCCTAGGAAGCTATTCTTGGAAGCCATCTCACAATCATTTTTCTTACCGAAATACAAAATTACGAATAAAGACATCTGTGAAGTGCATGAAACTTAATAAGAACTGTGATAATTAGAAGAAGAAACTTAGCAGTTAAAGCTTTTTAGCAATCATTTTCATCGAAACCGTGAGGCTTTTTACAGCAGGATATTTCCCAAGTTGAAATATATAAAATGTGCACATGCAAAAAGGAGAAATAAAGTGCTGTACTATATACTCAATGATGTTTTTCGCATGGAAATACATTTGTCGACGGCAATGTCGATTTCCCTCAATGTTTGTAGCTTTCTTAACACTTTCACAAACATTTAATTAAGATCTATGGTGTGATCATCCGATGACTCAATAGTATATACTACGTCGCTCAATGAAACTGTGTTGTCTCTTACGCTATCAAACACTATCATGTTGGAGCATTACCCATAAGTCGATCAGGTAGCATCTCTCATGAAGCAATCAACGCTTCGTATCTCTCATGTGGTACTAATAGAAAATCTGATTTCTTTTCGTACCAATGCTGATGTACAGATATTCTATTTTTTTGTAAACATGTTTCAGATTATATAGTTCACAGCAAATCTTGTATGTTGCTTTTTTTTCATTTCTATATATCATAAAGGATGATGGGAGTGTGAAGAATAACCGCTACTGGCATCTATTATTTTCCTCTATATCTTAATTGTAAACTAGATATGAAAACTTTCTTACTGCAGTACCTTACTCACTAAAAACAATTATAAAATCGTCAAAACTAAATAGAAAAAATTATCCAATGATTCATCTGATAAGATAGTTTTGAGTCAATACAAAACTTAGAAAGAGATGTTTTATTGATGCGTTAATTTCGTTAGTTTTTATGACATACTATTTGAAGACTGTAAAATCATTTTTAATAGTTTTTTTAATCAGATGCGTCGAAAAGTAAACCTCGATTTGAATGTGTAAATTATCTTGAAGGCACATGAAATTCAACAAAGGGAAATCTTTCATTTGCTACAATAAAGCGAATGCATTCAATGTTCTTCAATGATTATATATCAATATTATTTATTCAGCGGGTACAGCCAAAGATTGAAAGTAAATAGGACACAGTAACTGGAAAAGTAAACTGTTTTGTTTTCGCAGGACTTTCAAAATGCTCTGCTAGTCTAGCTTTTCTTGTTCGTATCATTTCTCGTTGATCATTCCAATAAATTGAGATTTGTCGAAACAGTAGGAATATATAGTGTGAACAATCTACATTTCTTCTCATACCAAGCAAACATTCTGTGTGTCCGCTGAGCTTTGCGACAATCTCTCTCTATTCTGTTGCTTACACAATATGAGCAAAATCAACTTTCTATTCATGTCTCTGAGTAACTAATTAATGAGTTACAAATGAAACACTAAAATGGACCAAAAGATATATATAACAAGAAAAAATTTTAGTTTATATGTATCAATAGGGAGCTATGGATCCATGCTTTTCTAGATCTGATCTCAGGGTCGAACTCGTTTTTTTTATCATAGATATCTGGCACCTTCGATGCACATGAACAAGTAAAGAATCCAACTTTTAGTTTTTCATTAGCTACTCAGAAAAAGTCTTATCAATAAAAACACCATAAACTAAAGCTATATGAAATAGTTTTATTTGTATTTATGTAGACAGTATCAAGCAAGAATATGTTATATGCAATCTAAAGAGGTACGAATCCACGATTTGAAGATTCGAATCCGACCAGGTCCGGATATAGGATAGCTTGTAGCTCAGTCTCTACTAGATATTATGTTGAAAAAAAATGAATTGAACTTTTTATAAGGATAAGTTGAAACTACGTAATTACCATTGCAAAGACAAGAATATAACAGTTTAGCTTATATAAAAATAAATCGATCTAATTCAGCTTATTTTTAAAAAGAACGATTTTTCTAACATCATATATGGCAGTTATTTCAAAGTAATGTAGGTAGCGTGAGATTTTTAAAGAGTAATGATTGAATTTTGAGATTTTCTTTCTTTAGAAAAGATACTCTGTGTGCATCAATTTGTTTTAAATAACTGAAAACAATGATTTACCTCCGACAGAAGCTGATTTGTCAGCAACGCACTATATTGATCATCATCATCTATCAATTACTTCATTAGCAAAAGAAATTATTAGACATTCCGAGAACAATACACCAACTGAACATGCTATTCTCATTCATGATTATGTGCGTGACTCAATACCATTTGGATGGAGTGGTCGATTTTGGAATGAAACTGCTTCAGATGTCATTAAAACAGGTCGAGGATTTTGCAATACAAAATCATCTTTATTTGCTGCTTTGTTGCGAGCAGTTGGTATTCCTTGTCGATTACAATTTGTCGATATCAATACGCAAATCTTACATGGCTTAGTAGATCCGAGCATAACATATGAATTGCATACATATACAGATTTTTTTAATATAGAACAGCAACGTTGGTGCCATGTTGATAGTTATATTGTTGATACTGCACTAGTATCAGCAGCTAAAGAAAAACTAGTTCAGGAAAACACAATAATCGGCTATGGTCTTCATCGAGATGGTCAAAGTGAATGGAATAGTATTGACAACACATTCATTCAGTACGTTACAAATAGTGAACAGAATGAAAAACTCGAACGACCATTAACAATACATAAATATGGACATTTTGCTGATATTGGAGCTTTTTATGAAGCTGCTGATCAACATGGAGTTCAAGATCGATTAAGCAATCGATTGTTCAAATGGATATTTCCTTTGCTAATTATGCCAAGAAATCGAGCTGTTGAAAATTTGCGGAAACGATAGACGTTTCACTACAATCATAATGTGTTTCATTTCAGTTTTCTAGTTTTCATGTTTCTTTTACTTATCTTCAATAGATTGTGATATAAATGTGTTAACAAATAAGAGTTTTATTGTATCTATGTTGATGGCATGCGGAATGAACACTTCATAAACAAAGAGAACATTTACCTTTGCTGCCAATCTTATCAAACAAAGATTTTCAAATTCATTGTTAGCTTTCGTTCATCAAATTTTCTTCATCTTTCAGCCTATCGCAGCATTGATGACTTGAGAAAGCATACTTGTGTCACTGTTGGAATCATCAAATAAGACACTAAAGACTAGAAAAATAACACCGATCAGCAATTGGTTCTGAAAGTCAAGAATGACCCAAAAAGAATAATCACATGCTGATTTTACACTACAGTATTAACAGATAAGTTAACGGAGAAGCTACGAAAAAGATAATTACGTCGATTAATTGAAATATTAAAAAGAAAAAAGCTGAGGCACTGGCCTCTTAATATAGACTAAGCAGTACATTTAGCAAGTGCAATACTAAGCAATTGTTAGAAGTTAAAAGATGCAAAGAAAATGAATCTGAATATTTAAATTGTTACTACCAAGACTGATCAAAAATAAACTGATATCCAGTTCAATAATTCATGGTCGTACACAGCTATATAAAAATCAATAACAACAATAGTAAACGAAGTTTTAGAATGCATTACTATCATCATAAACAATGACCGTGAAAAATCATGGTTAACGACTATCACAACAAAAAAAGTAACTGTTAACTATGTTCCGAAAATATTGTAAGGAGTCGCACAATGCAACTGAAAACGGTTTCTTAAACAATCGCCTTTATTTCTAAACAGCCAGCTACGGCAACAATCTACTATTGTTGCATAGAACAAAAATACAATTAGTTCATTCAATTCATTTTATTTACTATTGATGAGCGATATAGATGAAACAAAAAAGATTCTACAGATTTCATTCGATTGAGTAGTGATAGACCACACACAATAAGATGCTACAAAAAGTAGAATCTATGCTAGATAACCAACTAAGTCAATTTCGATTTGAATTGAACAAAGAATGAAATTCAAATATATATGAAATGTAAGATGTCGATAAATGAAATTTAACCAAAATTTAGTGTTTGTTTCTCACAAATGGTTAGATAGAGTTGGACGATCCGATTCAAAAGTAAATCGTTGTTTATCTTAATAAAAAAATGTGACAATTCTGAGCTTTCTTGTTCAGAATGATTATCTTGAATGGAATTGAATCACTAAGTAGAGAAATGTTCGCACTCATTAGAAATCTAATATTATTCATGAAGTGCATTGGAAAATTAAACGATTACAATACCAATAAATGATCCCATTTGGATGAACAGAAGCTGCAATATTTCAATTTCCTATCTTAGTGTTGTTTGTGCTTCATCTTATTTAATATTTTATTCACTTCCTTTAAAACTGGCATACATCATGTAAAATTTAGTGGAGAGAACAAGAGAGACCATTGAAATAGTTAGACAATGGACTATACTAATATATGTTGGATCAAATTGAAAATTAACTAAAATTAGGAGCATATCCTTTATTCATATATTTCTATAAAACGTATTCAAAAGACACTTATACAAACGGTCATATCATGCAAAATACGAAAACCTGACTAGGAATACAAAAATATACATATATGTATATAGGATTAGTTCAAATAAATTCGACATTTATTTGTACCACAATGACAAGGAATTTTGATATCTTCTTCAGCAAATGAATAATCATAAGTTAATTCAGAACCACGACTTATATTCATAAGAGCATAAATAACAATATGTTTAATACCACCGGATAGAACAGTTTTTGCAAAACAATTTGGCTAGACAAAATAATTTCATTTAGATGAAATCTATCAATTTTTATCTTACCTGACAATTATGATTTATAAAACGAGCTTTATTTCCTTGATGTGTAGCATCAATAACATTCATTGAATCAACAGTAAACATATAACAACCAAAACCCTATGAAAAAAAAAACAAAGTCTAAATTACAATTTTCATTATTTTGCTTTTTTTGGAACATTTTACTTTTTTTTCATTTTCACGTTCACGTTTATCTGTAAGACATGGTCGAACAACTTCACCCGTATATTCAATAATCATTTGTCCTTCAATCAAATCAATTAATGTAAATAAACCACAACCATGTATAGATGATGACCCAACAATTAATACACGTTGAGCAAAATAATGTAAATGATAAAGACGTAAACTAACCGAAGATTCTTCAAGAAGAATTCGTCTTTTAAAAAAAGACAAAAAATATTTATATATATAGTTTAATGTCAAGAAAGAGATGTAAATCAATGAAATTAACTTCAATATATGAATTCAATCAAGAATACACTGATACAACCACTTGATAATATAGAAGTGCACAGAATTTGAACTCACAAGGACATATATATTAACCCTGCTTCTTCTCTCAGCAATCAAAGACCATCCATAAGAAAAAGCTATTCTTATTCATATTAAGTTTGTGATCGTGTATTAATAACGTTTGTCGCATCTGAGCCGGAGGACGGTTGCGAAGGCATCTGTCACGGTCTGTGACGAAGAAGAGACATTCCTCGGAATATCTGTAATGAGCCGTTTCTAACATGTCTGCTGATCTCGTCTGTTCTAATCTGTAGGTTGAGAGAGATTTGCAAGTTTCTACTCTATATGCTTCAACACTCCTTTTAGATCTTGTTTCACGAAATTCCATAAAGCTTAATAGACAGTCATGAGCTTTTCAAAAGCATCTTTTGGAAATACAGCGAACTTTACAACTAAAAAATCTGGCTTTGGAGTGTAAATACCATTTTTTAAAGTTACAATGACAAGTTTTATTGAGATGAAAATAGCAGAGATATTAGTGCCCAAATCCCGCGGAGTTTTATGAAATCATAAAAAGTCTTTTGAAGTTGTGGAATCTGCAGTTTTCTACTTGAATCTTCTAGTAAAAAAGTTTTTTTCTTAGCAAAAATATTAGTTTTCTTGCATTTTGCTAAAAATGTTTTGAGCAAGAGTTTAGCTAAAGTCATTCATATCTAATTGAATTTTTGTCAATAAATTTCAATCTTCAATAGTTTACCTTGCATGATCAAGTGCATCATCAATTTCGAATGATTTTAATGCATATTCTATTTTTCGATTTGGATTTGATAACCAATTAAATCTTTGACGTTGAGAATGTTTTCGTTGATAAATATTTAATCTTGCATTTAATGGTAAGATTTTTTTATTCGAATTTTTTTTCTTTAAAAAACATATTGAATTATTTTTATTTGATGATGATGATGATGATGATGACAATGGTAATATAATTGTATCAGTTTGTTTATCTGTTGATAATGAATTTATATAAATTTGATTTAACATTATTTTAATAATTGATTTTGTTAAACCAAATATATGATGTCCATTTAATTCTTCATTTCGCATAAGTAAATGTGTTAAATTCATATCATCACGACATTCACGTACTAAATTAACAATTGTTGACCAAGCATCATCTAAATTATCTGACACAATTTTATATCCATCATCACTAATAATTGTAAATTTTATACGACCAAATTTTGATGATAACCATTGTTGATAGTAATAAATTAGTTCATCAGTAGATATTGATTTTATTTTTGAATCAATATTATTAGATGGATAATGAGATAAATTAGTTGAATATTCAGGATTAATATGAAAAGATTTTTCATTTACTATTTGTTCAATTAAAGAATTTATTAAGGAAGAAGAAATTAGTAGATCTTCATCATCATCATCAATATTTCCATCTATTTGTGGAATATATGTTTCAATGGAGTTACTGTGAACATTAATAGTCAATGTTGACTGCAATTGAGAATCTTAAGAGAGAGAATCATATGTTTTGTAATTTATTAGTCATATAAGTAACTATATTTATTTATATTTTCAATCAAAACTATTTGATATAAGAAAAATCATCTGGTAGGTTCAAGATAGTTTTAAGTGGCAAGTACATCTTAATCTGATCTTTTATTTTATTCATTTTCTCTAACGAGGGAACGCTTTTAAGTCATAAATCGCTTTTGAGTTCAGACTCGGTGCATAAGGTAGATCCGAGTGAGATATAGAAAGATTCAAAATGATGAATTGCCGTAAGCCTTCTGTCCAGACTTCTAAGCATTTTACTGGAATTTCAGCCAATGGTATACCATACAGAAGCCAATAGATTGACGATATTTCGATTTGAAATGTTGCCCACAGATAAGTCTATGAAACAATACTTCTTTTCCAAAATATTGAAATCCCAAAAATATCTCATATTCTATGAAAGATGCTGAAATTTTCAGAAGATTCAAGTGGCAAATAGACTAATTTTCCAGTAAAATGCCTATAACTCGAGACAGGAAGCCTAAAGAGATTTATTCTTTTGAGACTCTTCATACCTCACTAGAGTCTATCTTATGCAGAGAGTCGAAACACAAAAGCAATTGATCAATTGAAAACGTTCTCTCGTAAGTCTACACTCTTGTTGTTCATACCATTTAACTGTTCAGATGGATTTATATTTTTGAATAATTGATCTAACAAACCATCATTATTCTTCTCTATTGTTGATTGATTGGATGGAATACTTGTTTGATTAGATAAATAATAAGTGAAAATAGGTTCATGTTGTTGTCTATAAATAAATATAAATAAAATGATAGAAAAGAAAAATATTCATTTCATAATATACATTTTTGTTAATGATAATGATTGATCAACATTTTGAAGAGCTTGTACAAGTGCTAAAGCAAATCGAGAATGATCTGATGATTTTAATGAATCATTTATAAATAAATTTCGTAAAGTTTTAGTATCAATTGATATCGTTTGAGAATTTTCTTCTGTTATAATTGATGATGATTTATTGAATTGAATATTATTTTCATTATTAAATCTATTTCTTGGTCGAATGATATTTTTTAAT